TCTTTCCTCTCTCTCTCTCTCTCTCTCTCTCTCTCTCTCTCTCTCTCTCTCTCTCTCTTCATTTTACCCTCTCTCCCTTGCATTACTTGGGAAATAACTAACCCTTCACCTCTCACTTGTTACATTGCCAGGGGAACGAACGGTGAAAGAAACTTGTCCTCGCTTGGCGGAGAAAGTGGGCAAGGGGGAGGTTGTCGGTCCCTTGTGCCGCCAAGAAAGAAAAGAAAGGAAAAGACACGCAAGCAACTGAGAAAGGTCAAGTTCGGAAAAAGGGCTAGTTGATGCTTGAAGCGAGGTCAGTTTGACTCAACCATTTCCCCAACTGGATGACTATGAGAAGAGGATGGAATGATTGAGCAAAGAAAGGAGAACAATGAGAAGCCAAAGAAAATGAAAGATTAGACATGCGGGAAGGGCTATGTGTTGAACCCAATGGGGGATTGTATCGGTGTTTTCTTTCATGTGGGATTGTGGAGGGAAGTAAAGTCTTGGGATGTCTTGAGTTGGACCGGGCCGGGAGAAATCGGGCGGCCAAGGAAAAGGGGAAGAAGGGGCAAAGGGGCTACGAGCCCTTAGTGTAAAACCGAACCATGAGGGCAACCTTTGTGCTTGAGACTTGGAATGCAAACAAAAAAAAAGGATGAGGCTTGTTGATGATCAGGCTGTGAAGTAGCCTATGTATGCATGTGAACCCCCCGAAAGGACTAAGGGGCCTGCTCCAATGACGATGGATGAAATGTATGAGACGCGAGGAGAGTGTAGAGGCGAGGGGGAAGACGGCGTTCCCGCACCCCGATGACACTGAAGGATTGTTGTGCTTAGGGAAATGGTGCGTGGCCTAAGGATGACGCTTAGCATGTGCACAAGAGAAGAAAAACTCCCAAAGAACCCCTGGACTGCCTGCGTATTCGAAGGAGCATTTGCTTGAGAACACAACCAAGAATCGAAAAAACATCAACGTTTGCAAAACGACCAGCGAGACTACCACCCGGCGGGAGGGCTGAGCTACATCCCCAATCTCAAAGTTGTCTCGCGCGATGGCCCACACCCATTCATCTCAAAGCACTAGGTGGGGGTGACCCTGGGACGAACTGCCCGCGCCCTGAGCGTGAGCGTGGGCGGTCCGAGCCAAATGGGACCCGCAGTGGGGTCGACCAAGGCTCGAAAGTCTATCGGGGTTTGGCCCTACACCGACCTCATCCTTTCAAGAGAGTTCAGACTCTCTATTAGTCTGCGAGTGTAGTTACGAAGACCTCGAGGGTTAGTCCCGGAACGGTTGTAATGATCTGGCAGGGCGGTGTCAATGCCCTGTGGTGGATGCGAACTCCACCCGATATATCGCCAGGCCCCTCCCTTTGGACAATGATGCTCAACTTAATGTGAGCAGCTTTGGTCCATCCCAAGCGACCATGCTGTCCCTCTACGGTATGGCGTGTGGTTGGGGAGAGCAAATGAGACTAGTGTTATGACCCTGGCCAATTTCGAGATACACATCCACTGGAAAGTACAATGCCATCCAATTGCAGAAAGAAATGAATGAACTTGAGAGGAGAGAGNGATACACATCCACTGGAAAGTACAATGCCATCCAATTGCAGAAAGAAATGAATGAACTTGAGAGGAGAGAGAGGAGTAGAAGAAGAAGGAGAAGTTAGAAAGAAGAAGAAGAAGACGTACACCAGCAAAGACAATGACAAGGCTCTTCTTCTTCGCCCAGCAATCTCCTCTTCCTTATCTCCCTCTTCTTATTCATACAAGAAATAATAATACAATGTTGAATGACTGGTCCAGAATCAATGTCCGAGTCCCTCTTCTACTGCAGGTATCGCTTGAGGTTCACCATAGCCATGACCGCCTCCCTTCATTCTTCACTCACATAGGTCGAGGCTATGGCAGGCTACTAGGCCTTGCCCACACGTCCAAAGGACAACCCAAATCAGCTATGGCTGCTCTAGCTATGGCCGCCATGCCCAACCCTGCCTTGAAGCTTCTTGTTGTAGCTCTCCCCAGTTGGGGACTCCCTGCTGCAGCGCCCACCAAGGTGACGAAGATGGTTGCCACCATAGCCAGGTAAGTACCCCTGGCGCTCCTCCCCCTTCCTTCCTCCTTCCTCCTTCTTCCTCCCTCATGTCCTTCTCCTTCCTCCCCAGCAGCGCTGCTCCAGCTTAGCGCTGCTCCAGCCAGCGCTCCACCAGTGTGTCGCCAAACTTGCCCGAAAAAGAGGCCGGGTCTTCCGCCCGGCCTGAAGATATAGCGGCCTGCTTTGCCTCTTGGGCGGTGACTTCCAGGCTGCTGGCCTTCCCAAGCAACCAGTACCTCCTCCTCTTTTGGAGGGAAACATCATTGCATACTCTAATATTGCCCCTACAGGCCCTAGACTCAAACTGGTACCTGCTAGACCTAGCCTACACTACCAGCCTCTAAAAATGCCACTTTTGTCTTCTTCTGCTCGGCCTCCGGTACCTGCATATTCACCCCCCTGCCGGATGCTGTACCAGGCTACCCTCTTCTTGAGTGATTTTTTCCCGCTGCAACCCTTCAAAGCCACGACCACAGGTAAGTACCGGCCCTGAGGACCCAACGAATGAACAAGTGCCCTGATGGGCCCCACACACTCATACCAACCAGCACTCAGACAGGCACAGCCACACACATGCAAGTCAACCAGCACTCAGATAGACACGTAGTCCAGCACGCACACACACACACAGACTTAGCTGGCGGGAACTCAGTAGGGCATTCAGTCTATGAGCAAAACTCAGAAATCAGTTGTGTGTTTCAGTCCTTGTTTGGACGGGTTATCACACTACCCCCCCCTCAAGAGCGAGGTCCCTTCGAGCGAGTAACTCATTCCGAGTCCTCGGCAAACGCATCGTAGGCGAGCAAGGCAAAGAGATTCCTGGAATACTCTGTTGCAGTGAGCCTCGTTGAGATCTTTGGTGCGACGTTAGCAGCGATTTGTTGCTCGTAGGCTTTAACAACGCGTGGTGCGCTGCATAGCAGTTCCTGTTTGGAGATCCAGTACAGATCATATAATGGGTGATACATAAAATGAACCTGGTACTGTCTGTTTCTCCCCTTACCTACATGTTGTTTGATTCTATCTATCTCATGCCCGCCCTTAATTGCGGGAGGGATCATATCTTCGCGGTAATTGAATGTCTTGGCATCACGGTGGAGATACAATTTAGATGCATGGAACACGGGATATGTGCGCAGGTGAGCTGGCACGTCTACAACGTACGAAGGGCCAAAGTGATCTTCCCCAATTACTTTTAAGACTTCCCAAAGCTCGTAGTAGAGTGGGAGGAGTTTGCGTGAGACTCCCTCCTCCTCTGAGAATTCAGACATTTTTACCCAGACATAGCTTCCTACCTGAATCTCCGATGGTCGACACTTTTTGTTCGCATGGTGGATCATGGCATGCTGCCACTTGGTCATAGCTGCAATAGCAGCTTTGAGCAAGCGATCATACTTAGCCCTGAAGTCGGGCCTGCCAGGTGTTAAGCCAGCTGGCTGCTTAAGGAATAAGTAGGAGAGCGAATTACGGATCTGCCAACCGTAGTGCAACCTGTTGGGTGTCATGGCGGTGACAGAATGGACGGAGTTGTTGTACAAACCCTTAACAGAATATAGCTCCTCATCCCATGTCTCCTGGTCCGGAATAATCAACGGGTGGAGAAGTTGAAATACAGTCTGGTTGATCTCCTCAGTCACACCGTTGGCTTCGGGGTGTCAACTTGATGTCATGCACAGTTTGATTCCTAGGTGAGACGTGAAATCCTTCCATTCAGTGCTAATGAAACGCGGATCCCGATCGTTCACAAGAGTCTTCGGGGTTCCGAATTGCAGAATGTATTTCTGTTGGAATTCACGAATCACTAGATCTGTTGGGGCGCGGGGCGGCAAAGGGAACAGATTAAGAAATTATGAAAATCAGTCAACAATCACCATGACTTGGGAATAACCGTTTTTGCTTACCTTACCCATGTCAGTAAAGTCGATGGAGACAGACTCCTCGGGACCATCAGGAATGGGTAGGGATGTGAGTAGCCCCATGGGCTTTTGTCTGCATGGTTTGATCCGTTGACAGACTTGACATTCAGCTACAAACTTCTCAGCAGTCCTTTTCACGCCAATCCAATCAAATTGTCTCAGCAAATTAGCGTACGTTTTTGCCATGCCGAAGTGCCCGCTCCGGCCATGAGCCAAATCCAGAAAGTGTGTGCGGAGAGGCTCATGGTTGGGCACACACAAACGGTCATGGTTCCCGTAGCGACGAAAAATCAGTCCTCCGTACTTGGGGAAATCAGGCTGACTACTAGGATCAGCTCGCAGCCGCTCAAGGATGGAATTAAGTTTCGGATCCTTAGTTGTTTGCTCTACGAGTTCCTCCTTCAGTTTCTTCCGGAGGCCGTAGGATTTCACAAGGCAAGTCATGTACTCAGGGTGGCGAGACAATGCGTCAGCGACTCGATTATAACAACCCTTTTTGTGTCTTAATTCAAAATCGAAGATGTCAATCTCATGGAACCTGCGAAGCAAGGTAGGGGACAGGGTAGTTTGCTGTTTGATCCACTTCAGGGTCTCATGATATGAGAAGACTTTGAAGTGGTGCCCCAAAAGATAATGTTTCCAGTGATCCAATGCCATACGCAAGGCATAGAGTTCGCGCATGTAGGTGGAAGTGGCTACCTTTACGCTGGGCATCCGTTTGCTATAGTACTCGAGTGTCCGCAAGCCATCGCCATCATCTTGTTGCAGCACTGCACCGATTCCATACTGACTTGCATCCGTAGTAACTACGAATGTCAGTTTGGGATCTGCAATGCGGAGTATTGGGTAACTTACCAAGGCTTCCTTGAGAGCTTGAAAAACTTTTGTACACGCGGCATCCCAGGAATAAGGCACATTTTTACTGGTTAGTCGCGACAATGGACGAGCAATGATAGAAAAACGGGGTACAAACTTYCGATAATACRAYGYGAGACCAAGGAAARAAYGCAATTCGCGAATGTTCGYAGGCYGAGGCCAATCGCGTATGACCTCAATCTTGGTTGCCTCAGGCTCTAGGCCTGCAGCAGACAACCGATGCCCAAGATAGATGACGCTATCCTTCCCAAACTCGGATTTCTCCAAGTTGAGATGGAGTTGCGTCTTCTTGAGGATAGCGAGCACTTCCTCAAGATGCTTGAGATGTTCCTCTATGGACTTGCTGAAGATCAAGATATCATCAAGGTAGACTACCACGAACCGGCTAATCTGTTCGCGGAGGATCTTGTCCATGAGGCTTTGAAAAGTGGCTGGTGCGTTCGTGAGACCGAAGGGCATTACGATGATCTCATAAAGCCCGTCGCGTGTTTTGAACGCAGTCTTGTGCTGGTCCGCAGGATCGACTTCAATCTGGTGGTAGCCAGACTTGAGATAGATCTTGGAGAAGACCTTGCACCCACCTGCAGCATCAAGCAAATCGTCTATGCGGGGTAATGGATAGGCGTTCTTTCTTGTGATGCGGTTTAGACGGCGATAGTCAATACACATGCGGAGTTTTCCTCCTTTCTTTGGAACAAACAATATAGGAACACCAAATTCAGATTCACTAGGTTTGATCCACCCTTTGTCAATCATCTCATCGATTTGTCGCCAGAGTTCCTCCAACTCTCCGGGTCCCATACGGTACACGCAGCCCTTTGGAGGGATAACACCTTCGACTAACTCGATGGTGTGTCGGACCGGTCGCGTGGGGACTCCACGTGGCTCGGCCAGAACTTCCGGAAACCGATTGAGGAGGGTTTGGATGTCTGGTGGGACAGGTGGGGGTGGGGGATCAGCAAAGGGATCACCAAGATCCGACCGCAAGTCGCGTATAGAGACGACCAAATCTGAAGGAGGATCATTTGGACTATTAGAGGGTAGAGAGATAGAGGTGCTAAAAGTAGAGTACCAGGAGTAGGATCATCAATCAAAGTAGTAGTGATATTAGCCGCAAAAGTAGATGGCACATGGGTAGGACGAACAAAGGCAACATACAACTATTCTTCCTCCTTGTGCTTGCGCCATTTCTTGCATAACTGCATAACATTCAGAAAAGTCACTGGGATTCGCGCTTCTCATCCAAGAGGACAGGAAGCTCGTTTCCCTGAGCATCTTTGACCATGAAGAGTGACTCCTTCCACTTGGTCCATTCGCATTGGGACTGCAGCCAGCCCAAGCCAAGGACAACGTCGAAGGGGCACTTGTCAAGGACAAGGAAGTTCAATGCATGGGTGACAGTCTTGCCTTTGTCAAAGGTAGTGCGCACACCTTTGACTGCATGGGTGGAAGAGACAATTTCCGTGTCGCCAACTTGGGTCCGGCAAGGGTTCTGCTGGGCCACTTGTTTCATCCCCAAGCCCACCTTGCGTATCCCATGTGGTGACATGAAGTTAGCTGTAGCACCACAGTCCACCAACACACGGAGATAGCGGTGGTTTATGAGAAGTTTAAAGAAGATCAGCTTCACTGTTCCTTGGGCACGTTGCTGTTTCATCTCAGCCCAATGCTCCAAGTGGTAGTGGAAGTCAACCATCTCAGACTCCTCCCAAGGCTCGACATACAAGACATTACTTACCTCAGCCTTGTCTTCAGCAGATGGTTGGGCTTCAAGGGAGGGCTGCTGATTTTCAACAGAACCAGACTCCACTGCTGTAGAGTTTGCTGAATCTGACTCTATGCCCGATTCTGGTTTCCCTGCAGCCTATAACAGTCTTGAACCTTATGGTTTGTTTTTTGGGAATGCAGGCAAACCCCTTTCTTGAGTCTGCCCCGCCAGTCATTCTCAGTGATCCGGAGGTCAACCCAAGGTTTGGTAGACGCATCCTCCGGCTTAGGCGGGATCTTGACTCCCTTGGGAAGTTGGACATAATTTTTCTCGGCACTCCGATTCGGTCCCTTGGTACTAGCAGTCTTTTTGAAGGCAGAAAAAAATTCTTCTTCTTTATTTGCATCGGACTCATGGGCTGAAGAACAAGCTGTATCGGAGTCTTGTTCTTGGTCGTCACCAAGAGTGGGGTCGTCCGCATCGGCTTCTTCTTCGGCCTCCAGCAGGTCATGCACAACAAAACGGTTGCTGCCTTTGAATCGTCTATCGCCCATGGGCTTTTTGTTGCCTGCCGTGCTAACGAGGTCTACAACCTCCAAACTGACTATGTCCTTCATTAGGGCAAGCCAGTCAGTGTATGCAATGTAGTCCCTGCCCAGGCTATTAGTGAAATTAGTCGGAACCGCGCCCTTAACCACATCTAAGCAAAACTGAGCAGTCAATTCCAAACTAGGAGTAGCGAACAACTTGCTAAGATAGGTTTGCAGGCTTTTCATGGAGCCTGTTCACTTGTTGCGGTTGACTTTGTCAAGCTGGTTTCTTGCCCTCGCTGCAGCACGTGGATCTTGGTATTGGGAGATGAGGAGTTCCTCGAGTGAGGCAAGCGGAGTGGCCCTAAGCCATTTTGCTAGTGCAGTTTTCGGGACCCCAGCTCGCGTTGTTTGGACTTCCAAGAAGCCCCGCACAACCGGCTTGAAATTCATCCCCATGATCACAGCCTGGGTCTCAGGTTGAGTCCCCAGAATCTCAAAGTAGGCCGTCATGGAGCCGATCCAAGACTCGATGTCTTCCTTGCCGTCGTACTTAGACGACATTTATACCGCCTTTCGGTCCACATAGGGACCGGCGTAGCTGGGACCAGCACCTGCTGGTTCCAATCTTGGGGCTGCAACAGTTGCAAAAGTTCCAGCCTCGTTGCTTGTCACAGCAACAGCGGAATCTTCACCTGCTGCAGGTCCCGAGGGGGTTGCCATCACACTCGAAGAAGGGGTAGAAGAAGATACGGTGAGAGGGGCAAGATTAGTCGTAAGTGCAACTCCGGAAGCAGGGGGTAAGGGAAGAGGGTTGGTTACTTGGGCCTGCCGCAGCTCAGCAACCTCAACCGTCAAGTCGTGGTACTTGCTGGTCATATCAGTCAGATCCTCCTGGAGTTTCTTCAATTTATCGAAGACTTCAGCGATCTGGCTGGTATGATCCTCAAGACTCCGGACTTGGGCGATAGCGGTAAGTATGGTCTGCAACTCTTCCCTACACTGTTCTTTAGTCAGTGAGGGAACAGTTTGCAAAATGGCCTCTTGAGCCTCCAACAACGCCTCCTTCCTCTCCCTCTCTGACTCTTCTTCCCTTTTGATTGCGTTGTTCTAAAGTGCCTGTAGATATGGTTTCTCGGCATCACTTGCTGCATCTAACAAGGCCCGCCATTGCACTGAAGTTAGCTGAGCCATTTTTGGACTGCCAGCATGGGCAGGTGGGTCAGAGAGTCGTCGGTCAGCAAAAGAATCCATTAGACTCTCTAGAGGTTCACTCCCCCTCTCACTTGGACGTACACTCCTTTTCCCAGTCCTTGCCCACTTCAGACGATCACTTTCCCTCTCTCCCTGTTCTCTCTCCCTCCTCTCTCTCTCTTCTTTCTGGCTGCGAGTCTCCATGGGCATCGGAAATGAACTTAGAGAAACAAACTGAAAAGCTCAGAGAAGAGAAGGTAGAACTCCTAGCCGGAGCGGCATTTCATTTGGAAGTAGAGGGAAGCAAAAAAAAAAACAACAACTTCAAACGAGAGGTCTGATCCAGCGACCCAGTCTTATCAGACTGCATACGAGGTCCTCTCGAGTCCAGTCTGACCAGCTCCATGACCGTACAGCAAATCAGACAACGAGTAACTAAATGCAACAATGGAGAATTGAGTCGTGTACAAGGTGCGAGTCAAGCCACGGACAGTGCAATCAGAAGACATGCGAAACGTCTCAGCCAAGATCCCCTTGGCAGTGGGTGTCCTAATCCAAGAAGAATGAACTTGTATCCCAGTCAAGAAGACAAGAGATCAATGCCTAACCGATTTGGGTCCAGAGGCTCTTCTTGTTTGGGCCCGGGCCTGCTGGGCCTTAGGGGTCCCACGTAGGTCTCAACCAGGTCCCAACCAAAAGGAGTTCCACATAAGCTTAGTTCAGTCTCTACTGCACTGAAAAACGAAATTTCAACTTTTAGCAGAACCTACAGAATACAACCGTTCAGAGATGAAAAGACAAAGCACTGTAGAAAGACTCGACATGTAGATCAAGATACTTCATTTTCCATCCATCAGGTGAGTAGGTAGATCACATGCATTCAGTCACACAATCAAGACCACAGAGGAGTAGGAAAAGAAACCCAGAGTACCCCAGCAGGACAATCAATACCATACACACATACATGGGCATCCCGTAGGTGCACGACACTTACCTGAGTGGCCTTGAGCTTCGAGATGAAGAGAACTCACCCCCCTTCTCATGTGGTCCTCCTAACCCCTCTAACGCTACCCCTACACTAGTGTCCTATCTCCTAGGAGGGTCTGACGCCAACACCAAAGTGCAACGCTGGATCCCCCGTCGATGCTGAAGAACAAAGTAGCAACTTGCAGTCCGTTGATGCAGAGTGGCCGCTGACCCTCAAACTCACCAACTTGAGGGCAGCCCTTAAGTTGCCAAGTGTCTCCCTTGAATCAGATTTCAGGTGCGAGTGCCTCTCACTGTCGCCTCTCTCAAATCGCCGCATGAAGTCTCCTCGAAATGTCTCGCCACCCTAATCTCACTCTCGAGCAACCTGGTTAGGTTCTATGTTGACCCCACATGACCTAACCAGGTGGGGGTAGCTTCCCTTAGCCACACTGCCCCACTTCCCTCAACCGGCCATCCCTAACCCTAAGTGTTGCCCTCAACCACTTAGGTTAGGGTTAGGGCAGCAAGTCAACTCTCACCAGCAAGTAGAATCCTCTGTGATGCCAATGTTATGACCCTGGCCAATTTCGAGATACACATCCACTGGAAAGTACAATGCCATCCAATTGCAGAAAGAAATGAATGAACTTGAGAGGAGAGAGNGATACACATCCACTGGAAAGTACAATGCCATCCAATTGCAGAAAGAAATGAATGAACTTGAGAGGAGAGAGAGGAGTAGAAGAAGAAGGAGAAGTAAGAAAGAAGAAGAAGAAGATGTACACCAGCAAAGACAATGACAAGGCTCTTCTTCTTCGCCCAACAATCTCCTACTCCTTATCTCCCTCTTCTCTTATTCATACAAGAAATAATAATACAATGTTGAATGACTGGTCCAGAATCAATGTCCGAGTCCCTCTTCTACTGCAGGTATCACTTCAGGTCCACCATAGCCATGGCCGCCTCCCTTCACTCTTCACTCGCATAGGCCAAGGCTATGGCGGACTACTAGGCCTTGCCCAAACGTCCAAAGGACAACCCAAAGCAGCTATGGCTGCTCTAGCTCAGACCGCCATGCCCAACCCTGCCTTGAAGCTTCTTGGTGTAGCTCTCCCCAGTTGGGGACTCCCTGTTGCAGCGCCCACCAAGGTGACGAAGATGGCTGCTACCATAGCCAGGT